TTATTTTATGATAGCATATGATCCTGTCATTCTTCAAACACGATATCGTAAAGATTTAGCAGGACAACTTGGAAATCTGGTATCACGTAGTACTTCTTTGGCACTTAATCCCTCATCAACGGTACCATGTAAACCATTAATTATTGAAGGCGTAAACGAGAAAGATATGACTTTATATAAAATGTTACAACAATTACCAGGTAATATTGCGCGTGTTGTATCATGATTTATATCATTTATTATTTTTATAACTAAAAATTTTTTCGAATACAGATCTAGTAAGTGATCATTATAAAAACGTAGAATTTGGCAAAGGTTTAGAATTAATTTTTGAGACTATTGCTGAGGTAGGTCTAAAAAATTTGATTATAGTGATTATAAATAATAATTCTAAATGATTTATATTTGCTTATGGCAAATTACTCATTATATTAATTACGTTAATTATGAACTACCTAATATTTTTAATAATAAAAGGCCAATAAACATTTCACGGATAATGAACCATGGAATTTAATTAAGGATCCAAATAAAAAAGAGATTTTAAATCGTGTATTATTCTTTGCTGTTGAAACTGCTAGAATTTCGGGAATTTTATTACAACCAATAATGCCAACAAAAATGAAAGAGTTGTTAGATATGATTGGTGTTAGTAACGACGAAAGAAGATGGGAGCATTCCAGATTAGGAAGTGGATGGCAAGTTAAAGGTGGAGGAAGTGTAAAGTTTAGTGTTAAAGATGGACATTTTTTGTTTCCAAAATAACCAAATTTATATTCTGAAATGTATTTTGCTATATGTAAATATAATATTCAATGTTTAAATGATATTCAATGTTTAAATGTTGTATATAAAGAACCAATTTCTCCCTCTAGTTCTTTATTCTTCAAATGTTATTCCAAATATGTCAGAGAATCATATTTAAGCTTTTTGATAGTCCATATTGAATATACAGATATAAGCGTATTCAATATGCATAAGTAATGGTTTTGACCTATCAAATCATCTAATAAGATATATACTGTTATGATTATAATCCTATTATTCTTCAAAACTTATCATGCATAGAAATTAAAATTTAATTAATTGACTAGCCAGTAAATTTATAGTTATCATAAACTTTAATTCAAAATAATATTTGAAATTATGAGTAATATCTTGCTTGGGGTATAAATAAATTTAACTAATACTGCCAGGCGAAAAGTAATAACACTCTTAAAAAGAAAAAGGTTAGTAACTGAGTTTAAATTTTCTTCGAACAAAGTTCTATGTTTAAAATTAGTCTACTTTTTCTCTTTGGTGAATAGTAAAGTCATCTCGAGAATTTAGAACTATAATTTGGACGTGCACTTTTAATAATTTGTTTTTTAGCCTTTTTTTTTTTTTTTTTTTGCTGTGATCCAACACTATCTCATCAGCACTTATCACAGCAATTTTTTTCTTTAGAGAAATTTTCAGATTAAGCGATCAACTTTCGCAATACTTGGGTACTTATAATCAACAAATAAAACGATAAGCATCAAAAAAAAGAAAAATAAAAAAAATTTGATTAAAGTTGATTACTGTATTAGTAAAAAGGTCCTATCTAGGAACTTTTTAAGTAAATAACAAAAAGGTCCTGTCCAGGACTTATCAAACACTCGGTATATTGGAATCTAACATAAATTTTCAAATGTCTATAGTATTTTTATACAACAACAGTCAGCCGCTTCACAAAAACCAGGCTTGTGTAACAAACTAAAAGCTTTGGGTCGAAAGAGAGCATTAGATTTTTGAATGATACGATGTTAGCAGGATTTCGGGAAAGTCTACGCTACTTTGAAACTAAATATTAATATCAATAAAATCCTCAACAATCCACACTTCTTCGGGACCGTTGGACACGTGTAATTTATTATAACTTCTACTAATTTAGCGTCGGATAAAGTTTTGGTGGGATTTTAACAATAGTTTCAGATTAGGTTTATACACTTTAACAATAGTCGCTTGTAAGAAAGAATCGGGATAAGTATACTGTACATTATCGTTATTGCTGTTATTGCTGTATTGGGCAAAAGCTAAACCGGACAAATGAACACGTGTCGCAAAGTGGCACGTGTTCAGCCAATCATTTGCCTGGTTGACTGTTATTAGAAAATTTGCGAATTTATCGTTGTGATCATGATGTATACATTATTGGACAGACGACAAAAAATAACAGTCAATTGTTTTTTTTGTCGGAATTAATGTCACTCCATGTGCAAAAGTCCTAACGTAACCGACAATCGAGGGCGCAGACATATGATCTTCCGACACAATTTTGCGTAACGTAACACGAT